GCAGCCGCTGTGCAGCTCACTTATATAGCTGCAGTGCTTGCTTGTTGCGTAATGAGTGCCACGTCATCCTGTTACGTCACCGCTGTTGACTCGCCTTGCGTAGTTACCAGGGTTCCGGGGCTCGGCTATCTTCGGCTCCGCTCGGCTCTATTCGGCTCCGCTCGTGACGTCACCGCGCATAGCTGCCAGGATGCGGGGTGATTACTCGCCTATTACGCGAGCGTTACGTTACCGCTGAGGGGTGGGAGGGGAGCGCTGACTCACCCGCCGCGTCACTGCTGGTGTGGGGGGGGGCTCGGCTTTGCGCAACATGTCACAATATATATCTGTGGAGCCCACATAAAAGTGGAAATGTTGAAGGAAAAACAAGGATAAGAATATTTATGTAGAAAGCTGGATATAAATAAAATATACAGGACAGAGCAATGTTAACTCAGCATTTTTAAACACAATGAAATCTGTCAGACCAAAAAAGGGGATAAAGACAGTTACCCACAAGCCTTGGAATGGTAATGCCATTTAGTAAGAATAAATCAGTAGTCAGCTGTGCACCATACATTTTCCACAGAAACATTGTTTACAAACAGTGATTCTGTGACTGTAACACAGTCAACATTCAAATGGCACTTTAACACTGGGAGACATGGAAACCTTCCAGATTGCAATATCATCATATTTGGGGTGGAAAGTTTCAAACCCCGGCTTCTGCAGCTAACAAAAATTAACAAAGCCATCTTCTGGGATGTGGCACCATGTAGAAATTGTGTTAACCGACGTTTCGGAGGAATGTATCGCCTCCATCTTCAGGGTAGAAGACAAGAAATCCGCGAGCGAACCAGCTTGAGCAGGTGCAACAGACAGATATAGTACAACAGGATGCTGCAGTATAATATTAAAAACAAACATTTCATGTTGAATACATTTTCTGCATAAGTCACAAGCTTTTCAAGAAAAGTAAACACAGGGAATTTTTACAGTGTGTCATTTCAAATGTAGAGAAGAGCTGGGCTGATTATGGTATTGCTCATCTGCTCTCCCTACTGTGGGCTATCCATATGCTTTCTAACTTATTGAGTCTGACATACATAGGAGTTCATACACTTAATGAATTATATAAATTCATACTAACATGTGAAACTTTCTCCCATTTTGGATGTTGACTTGCCTCATTTGTAGGTATATCTACATGCTGACATCTTTTATCACCTTGACTACACCCATTCTGCTTCACCTCTTTCTCTTTATGAACGTCTGGTCTATGATCAGTAGACAGAGCTCCTTCATCTACTGGATTACCTGGAGATCTGTCCAGTAACTGAAAAATGGAGGTATTTTAAATATAAAAGGAGAGCAACATGTTTTTAAAGTGCTCCATTTTCTGGGATATAATGCCATGTAATCTGTTGGAAGTCAACTGATGTTTCGGAGGAACACATCCACTCTATCTTCAAGGCTGAAGAGTAAGCCAAGCAAGGAACCAGCATGAAGCAGGCATAAGCAAGTGGCTTGTGGAATGCAGTACTATACAGAAACAGACAGGAACTAAGAAAACCAATGACAGGAGAGTGGCTAGTTTTGCCTTTTGAAAGGGCCAGTATGGGAGACATGGGAGCGTGGGGGAGAGAAGTGGTAGGTGTCCTCAATTCTCTGCCCCCCCCCACACACACGCGCGCATGCACACACACACACACACACACACACACACAACTTCATTTCCCCATGCTCCAATATGTGCACAATCACCCTTTCCAAGTGGCAAACCCAGTCACTCTGCTCCTCTTGCCTAGTGGTTCACCCCAGTTTTCCAAGAGAGCGAATAGAAACTGACAGGTTGGCTTCCTAGTTTCCTTCTGTTACTACAAAACACCACATTCCCACAAGCCGCTTGCTGCCCGCTTCATACCAGTTTCTTGCTTGGCTTACACCTACACCCCCATGATGCAGATGACATTCCTCTGAAACATCACCAAACTTTCAACAGACTACATATATTCCAGAAGACAGAACACTGAGAACCTCAGATACTACATAATGCTTTTAGTGTCTACGGCATTTACAGCAATGAGTTAAAAGCATCTAGAAGCTACTTTTATGGATAGAAAAAAGAAACGAAAAAAAAAAACCACCATCAAAGAATGATAGGAGCAGGGGTAGCGTAGTTGGTATAGCGACTGGCTATGGGCTGGACAACTGAGGGGCTGGAGTTTGAGACCCAGTAGGGTCAAGAATTTTCTTTTCTCTAAAGTGTCCAGACTGGCTCTGGGGTCCAACCAACCTCCTATCCACTGACCACTCAATTCCAGCTAGTGCCAAGGTCAAGAAAATTTGAATCTATACATCCATTCTCCCTATGCCTTCATGGCGTAGTGCTTAATTCATTGAACATAGGAACATTACCTTTATTTTTATCAAAGAATGTTCATATTTTGACCTAACAGTAGAAAGAGCCCAAATAAACCCAATGTTCTTTTAACCAGTCTGGAACTGAAAAACTTCATCAAAATGTCAATGTTCCTTTACACACTCAGCAATTGAAAATGTTCATCAAGATGTCACAGAACGTGTTTTATTTGTGAATGCAATATTTGTAACTGTTTCTGCTCATTGTTGTTGTTTAGTGCCTCCTGACATTGTCTGTGTTGACCTTTATGGCCTCTGCTCATTTATGCAAGGGGACAGAATCCACTTCTGAAATGGGGGCAGCGATAGGGCAGATTGCACACCCTGTGACAAAACGATCATGAAGGTGATGGTCAGCAGAGGGAACCCACAGCTTACTTAACATGTGTTGCAAAGAACCATGGAGCTGGGTATGCTTCATACTCCCAAGTTTTAACTTTGGTACAGATTAAAATTTCAATCTGGGAAGGAACCATACTCAGAACCCTCTGAAAGAAAGTCCAGTGTCTTACTCCAAGAAGATAAAAGAGTCCCTGAACACTTTGTTCTTGAATGTGAAGAATTTCTGCTTGAAGAATTGCTGGATTAAAACTTATTCCTGGTCATATAACTTAAAAATATATATTGGCCTCTTAACTAATCTATCATTCTACCTACCATCATTATGTATCTTTTGAGTTCATCCTGCTGATTTGTTTTCAAACATTCTTTGCTTAGGGGAGTTCCTTGTAATGACATAAGTTGTTCTGCCTTTCTATAAGTAAGCAGTCCATCTCGACTGAATGGTATCTCATCAGCTGTTAATGAACCAATATTCTGCTGAAGGTGAACAGGGGTTACACAAGGCTGTGACATACCCGTAAAATCTCTGTATTCATGTGGAGTGTCCACTACCATCTACAAACAACAAAGGTTACAAGAGATAAGGAATAATGTTTAATAGCCCATGTTTCAATTATGTATCTATACAATGGTATTCACAAGACTATTAATATTATTATAAGACTTCACCTTACTGCTCTTTGAATGTGTTTCATCATTTGTTCCTGAGGCAGTACCAGTCTTTCTGGTATGATGCTCATCATTGCTGTGATTTTTCAAGGTGGAAAATGGTCCATTATCTAAAGCAGTAGACTGACTATGTGTTACACAGGGCCAGGTGCTAGTGTCTGTCACTGAGAAATTTTCTTTTCTCTGTGAAACAAAATACTGGTAGTAGCAAAACACAAAATATCTACAAGATTAACAGGTGAAAATTAAAACTATAGTAAAAGCATATGAAATATGCTAGAAAGAATCCATTGTGAGAAATATGTGTCTTAACTGCCAGAGCATGGCCAACTCCAAGCCACTATTTCTGTAAATAAATTTTACTTTTACCTGTAGTCGCACATATTCTGCCCCACAGTTAACTAACGGATTGTTTCCACTGACAATACGCAATGCTTCTTGCCACTGTGTCTCCATGACACTGTGTAACTTTTCAACCATTTCACTTTTCCTAGAATTATATCCCTGTAATTTGGCTTCAAGGTGAGAAGCCTGTTGCACTGTTTGTGCTAGCTGGAGTTTGTACAACTGAAGTTCTTCCATATGTTTCTCTTCTAGTAACTTCATTTCCAGTTGGTGTCTGAAACAAATTAGATTACCATAAAGACTCTACAGTTTAGCACTAGAGCAAAACACACATATACATAAACCTGTATATGACATCCCTGAATCCTTTGCAATCCTAAAATTCACAATATGATTGCATATCCTTTTATTTATTATAGCCTAGGTACAGCAAATGCTGGGAAATTCTTGAGTAGCTGCAGATTTGGCTTCTCCTCAAGAAGGGCTCAGCTCCAGAAGTAAATAAGTAAGTAAGTAAGCCTATGTACAGTAAACTCCTCTTCATCCAGTATCCAAGTCTGTACCACAGGAAAAACTGTCTGCATGTTGCAGCTCCTATAAGACTATGACATTTTTTTTTAAACTGCATGGGACATGCTATGATAAGGAGCAAATATGAGACAGTATACAGTGGAGTGCTAACTAGATCACTACAATGAAAAGACAAGCATTTTTTCCTAACATATGAATGTCATCCTTCGCTAGATTCATGGGCATTGCATACAATTTCTTCTGCATCAGAAACAATTTAGCTGGAACTCTTTACTCTTGCAACATTACAAATATCTGTGCGGCCTCATGACACTTTTTTGAAAAGTAGTGACTTCTAAAACACATGTCATCTATTAGACTTTGGTGATGCATAGGAAAGAAAAGGAGTGGGATGACAATACAAGGAAGAAAGGAAAGGAGGGGAGGATAGGCAACTCCAACTTGGTACAGTTGAGTGGATAAGGGGCACCTAAATCAGTTACTGGAGAAGGCCTCAAAATCTGTTTGGATGATTCTGGATAGTACTAATCTTTGATCCACTTACATTTGAAAAAAATTCCAACATCTAATTCCAAAAGTACAACTACTTACACTCACAGATCTTTCTAGTTTTGTGATGAACTTACTTTTCTGATATCTCTTTTACTTGTTTGGAAGCCATTTCATTGAGTGCATGTTCTCGCTGTTCCAGTTCCTTATGTAAAGAGGTCTCTGCAGCATCCAACTGCTCCTGAAATTCTCGCAGTTTGTCACGTACCACAATTTCCAGTTGTTCTTGGTAGTATTCCCTTAACTCAACCTTAATTTTTTCTAATTGACCTGTCAACTGTCTCATTTCTTCTTGAAGAGATTTCTGGAAAACGTTATTACAGTACATTACAGTACAATACAATATAACAACCTAGTTCAACTGGAAGGTTCTTGAACTAACAAGTTTTAAATAAAAAGCAGGATGATGGCTAATGTCCAAAAACTCAATAACTTTATTAATATACCATCATCTCAAGCAAAGACTTTACTAAAAAGGGCCACAACTGATGTCACTTTTTCTACTGTTATCTTTCTCTAAGCTGTTCAAAGAATAAATAACAGATTGTATGATTTGAGGTTCACACAGCAGTGGTTATGAAGAATTCTATCTTCTGGGATATAATATTATGTAGTCTGCTGAAAGTCACCTAACATTTCCATTAAAATTTCATGTCATCTGGTGCAATTCAACTGATGCTTCCTTAAAGATCAGTTGCCTTTTACTGGACTAAACAGCATCACATCCCAGATGACAGAACTCCTAAAATTACAAATCATTTAATGATATTAAATTAACTGTTATGTTCAGCACCAAATGAGAGATGATGATTAGGTATGTCAAACTATAAAGGATAAGTAAAGAAGCAGCTGTGGTTGATTCCAAGGTAATGTTCCAGCACTCACGTGGATGGCAAAAATAGAAACACAAAAAATCTCAGATAATACTGTCTTTGCTCTGGCCAAAATTCAAACCACGCATCCACAATACAAATTAGACTCATTACATTACATTTCCTGGATTCAGAGTTAGTCAAAATGACTGTAGGATGTGGAATATGTCATATAAATACAAAAACATAGTACACTACAACTGAAGTTTTCACACAAGAAAACACAGTGATAACACATGAGGCTATTAAAAAATACGTCCATATACAGGGTGTCCCAGGAGGAATGTGCCAAACTTCGGGAGGGTGTTCCTTATGTTAAAGTATGCCGATATAACCCAAAACACCTATGTCCAAAGTTGAACGGTTACGGAGATAATGGCCCGAGAAAAGTGTTGTCTTCTTGCAGGTCCACGCACTATACGTANTATTTTGTAATCAACAAGTGTGTAACCCCGGTCAAAGTTTGACACTTCTCTGGCCATTATCTCCGTAACCGTTCAACTTTGGACATAGGTGTTTTGGGTTATATCGGCATACTTTAACACAAGGAACACCCTCCTGAAGTTTGGCACATTCCTCCTGGGACACCCTGTATATATATATATATATATACACACATCACTACTGTCAACTTATGCTCTCTATACAACCTTTAAATCGATAAGTCATTTTTAGACAATAAGTATTCATCAACGGAGTAGAACAAGTATGTGTTTAAATCTTGTTTTAATGCTATTTTAAAATGTGCTTTTTCATTCATAAGACTTTTGACATCAGATGGCAGATTACTGAAAATTCTGATTCCAGTATAATAAAAAGTATGAGAGGTTAACAGTTGGTTTATGGAGATAGTGCTGCTGTCTTGTGTTAACACTGTATACATCTGCATTGGTCTGAAAATGTTCTTTGTTATTTCAAATTAAGTTTATTAATGAAAATATGTATTCACATGGAAGAGTTAAGTTATCTAGTCTCTTGAACAGATCTCTACAAAAATTACAGGATTTGACACCCATCATGAATCTAACAATTTTCTTTTTCAATGTAAAACCCTTTCTTCTGTCAGAAGAACTGCCCCAAAAATGTATTCTGTACTTCATCAAAGGGTCAAAGTAAGCAAAATAAGTTGATTTGAGAGTGCCAGCGCTGCTGATATGCAACACAGATCTAACTGCATATCATGCTCCACTTAGCTTTCGAACCAGTGGTTTTTCCACTTTAAATGATTATCAATTTGTAAGCCAAGGACTTTTATGTTTATTGCCTCTTCTATACATTTATCATTATATATATATATATATATATTTCATGGACACTGTTTTTTGTTATAAATTTTATTACATTGGTTTTATCTAGGTTCAGGGACAGCTTATTTGCAGAAAACCATTTACTCATTTGAGAGAGAACTTTGTTTGACAGTATGCAGAAATCATTTAAATTTTTACTAGAAATTACAACACTAGTGTCATCAGCAGATATTATATGTACTGATGAGGTGTTTTGTGTATGAGGGAGGTCATTTATAGATCAGGAAAAATAAAGGCCCTACAATTGATCCCTGTGGAATTCCATGTTTTACTGCTCCCCAGTTTAAATAGGTACTTTGGGTTAAATTTGATGATTTCTCTCAATCTTGTTTTCTATCTGTTAGGTAGAATCCAAACCAACTTGATGTTGCTCCTTGAATGCCAAAGAAGTGTAATTTAATGAATAAAATTTCGTGATTTACACACTCAAAAGCTTTTGCCAAATCACAGAATATTCCATCAACATGCATTTTTTTGATTCATAGATTTTAATACACTGTCTACATTCCTTTCCTGAAGCAAAACTGTTCTGTAACTAATACATTACTAGTTTGCAAATGTGGGTTTAACTTATTGTGCATTACTTTCTCAAGTACTTTAGAGAAAGTAGTTAATAGTGAAATTGGCCTGTAGTTTGACATAAACATTTTGTCCCCTTTTTTTTGTACAGTGGGCTTACTATTGATATCTTAAGACAATCTGGGAAGATCCCTATAAATAGTGAGTGATTACAAATTTATAAATTTTACTTGTTATTCAATCATAACTTGATCAGTTTTATGCCTTGAGGGAATGCATTATACTTTTTATCTGAGTATCAGTGGTTGGAATGGTCTTAATACCATGGAATTTTCTAGGAAATGCCTTTTTAAAAGAGAAATGCATCTTCTCTAACTTCCTGATGCAAGTTTGGATTTTCAGTAATTGTCAGAAAGAAAGTATTGAAGGCATCAGCAATTACTTCTGGGTCACTTCTTCNTCGGTTAATCCGCCCCCGGATAATCGAGAGTTGACTGTATAAGAAGAGATGGTATTTGTTCAGTCAGATGTAATTTTCCTGTTTTATGTTTTATTATATTTCAGGCTGTTTTTATCTGATTATCTATTTTGCTAAGAGCCTACATTAATGGTGCCTTTTAGCCACTTAATCTTAAAATTTTCAACTTTACTTTTGAAAATAGGTTCCTACATTTCATTTTCTAATAGATGCTGAAACCAAGCGATGGTTTCATTATTTATTTTTCTGGTTCTCTGTTCCAAGGGTATTAAATTTACTTTTGTAGTAATATTATTTACTGTAAGGAATTGGGCACTGTGCTCTGGAAAGCCAATGACTATAGGAGATGTACAAAAACAGCTTAACCTTGTACTACCTATAAAAACATTATCAATGGCTGTACTCGAGGAATTTTGAATTCCTGTTGTGAAATTCACACTATGTGATAAACTGTATGTCTCCAGTAAAGAGTTTACTTGTTCTTGTATGGTTATTTTCATTTAAATAGTTTATGTTTATGTCTCCACAGATTATAAACTCAGATTATGAAATGTAGAGAGATTTTAAAGTTGTGGTTAACTGGAAAACAAAGGCACAAGAGCAGGATGGCTAAAGTGATTTTAGAGCAGGCCAAGACCCACAAAGGGTTGTAGTGTCAATAATAATAATAATAATAATAACAACAACAACAACAACAATGACAACAATAGCAACAACAATAACTATAATAATAATAATAATCATCATCTAGTCTCCTTAGAAGTTCTTTAACCGTTCAG